TGAAGAATAGCTTGACTCCCTCTTCTTTGGGGCTGCCCCTGAGATATTGGAAGACTGCTATCATGTCTCCCCTAGTCACCGTTGCACATTTTTTCTCACAATCTTCTTTGATATTTCTGGGAATCAGAAAATTAAACCATCTGGTCCCGACAATTTGAACTTGTCCAAAGTGGATAGGATCCTTTTACCAATTTCTTAACTCCCTATTCTGTCTCCTACAATTGCTACTTAAGATAACTTGGACTATTTTTTTTTCTTTTGCGTGAAGACAGATGCAAAGAAGTTCCACTTTCTCCCTTCTGCCCATCTCATTCTTGCCATCTTCTTCAATTAGAGGACTGTTCATTTCCTTGAGTTCTTTTCTTATTCTTTATGCAAGAGCCGAGGTGGTGCTGTGGTTAGAGTGCTGTACTGCAGTCACGTTAGCTGACTGTTAGCTGCAGTTCAGCGGTTCAAAACTCTCTGGCTCAGGGTTGACTCAGCCTTCCATCCTTCCGAGGTGGGTAAAATGAGGACCCAGACGGTGGGGGCAATATGCTGGCTCTGTAAACCGCTTAGAGAGGGCTGAAAGCCCTATGAAGCGGTATATAAGTCTAACTGCTATTGCTATGCTATGTAATGAAAGAAAATGATTATTTTTGGCATCTTTTGCAAACCTTAGTTCATTCTGAGCCTTAGCTTTCCTGACCCATCTTTGAGAGTCAGGCTATTTCCTCGTATTCTGTTTTAGTTACATGTCCATGCTTCCATTTTTTATTTCTTTCCTTCAATTTGTTAGAGATCTTTTTGTACAACCATGCTGGCCTCATCTGGTATCTGTTGCTTTTCTTCCTCTGTGGTATTATGTTTGATTAGGCCTTTCATTTTTCAGAATTTTCCAAGCATCCTGAACTGTTTTCCCCTCTACGATTTCCATCCATAGAATCCTTCCTAATCTCTCTCTTAATTTGTTGAATTTGGCTCTCTTAAAGTCTAAAACACTAGTCTGACTTTGTTCAGTTACCCATGGCAGATTATGACATGGTCACACTCTTCCAAAATGTCTACAGTTTCCACTCCCTCAGCCATTCCATCCTTATTGGGATTAAATTTAGTATAACTGACCCTCTAGTTCCCATCTCCACCCTTTGGGTGACAAATGTATCTGCTGGGCACATCAATTTGCAGCAGCCATGTGAAAGTTAAAGATTTAGGCTTACTGTAGTTAGAAAAAATGCTACCAGATTCCTGATTTTTTTTTTGGGGGGGGGGGGATTAACATGGCTGTCCTGCAATAAAGTCTAACCTTAGGCTCCTTATTTTCATATTATGAGCAAAACAGTCACTTTAAATAAATGTGTTAGCCATTAAACTTATATTAAGTTCTGATTTTTGTTTTTCAAAGATGAAACACATTCAATAAAATTAGTAGAACAGGGATTTGATTCCCCCCCAAAAAACTAGAAGTTTCCCAGAGAAATCTCATTTTGCATCTAGAATATCATGAGTGGTTTGAAATATTAAATAAGAGGGAAATGGGTTACTAATTTCCACAGCTGAATTATCTTGTTCTTCTGTGCGCTGCTTGGGGAATCCAAGCATGGGTTAACTTTGTCCATTAGCCTTGAGACTGAGTTANCTCTCTCTCTCTCTCCCCTCTTCTAGCTACCTAGCTACCTAAGTACTCTCTCTCTCCCTCTACCTACCTACCTATCTACTTTTTTAAAAATTTGCCTCTTCAAAACCTTGGTGTGTCTTATACTCTGAAAAATACGGTAAGTTTCAGCAAAATCAGAAACTGCTAAACTAAATAGATCTCCCCGCCTCCAAAGGGGCTACTGCCAATAAAAGGTATTAAGTGATGTTTCTATTTTCATAGCCCTTAAATAATAATAAAAAAAATTAAAGCCATTTTATATGAAAACCCTATATAAAGTCTATGGCCTTTTGAGATTTGCAATGAACATTTATTTTGGACTTTTTTGGACCTCGACTTGCAACACAGAGCTTACACTTTTTCACTGTGACCGTCACACTCTTTCCTTTGCTCTTCTTTTTCTATCCATCTTTGTTTCCTCTTCGGAAGCATATTGCATTAGATAAGTAATGAATTGCTTGCATTAGAGATTCACAACTTCATTATTAAAGCATAAGCTGCTCTCCACTTTTGGACAGAGAATTGTGTGTCTCCCTTGCTTGACCTTCATATTCACTGCTTAGTTACCTTCAACATTGTTCCTCATATATTTGATTTGACCTCATGTAGCTTTTGGAAACGCTCACTTTCAATCTAAAGCAGGTGTCCCCAAACTTGGCAACTTAAAGACTTGTGGACTTCTGGGAGTTGAAGTCCACAAGTCTTCAAGTGGCCAAGTTTGAAGCCCTCTAAGTGGAGAGATTGTAGAGGAAGAGATTACAAGAGAGTAAGCAATGCTGGCTAGAGAATTCTGGGAGTTGAAGTCCACAAGTCTTCAAGTTGCCAAGTTTAGGGACCCCTGATTTAAGTTATAGGAAGGTAGATTTTGACTTAACTTTTGAAAGTGCCTTTTTTAAACATTAGAGTTTTTCATCTGAAAAGCCAATCAGCAGTAGAATTTAACAGTGGTGTTAAACATGATGTGTCTATATGTTACAGTGGGATTCTTTGTTACAGAAAGCAGAGGCAGAGTGAACATTTGTTAGGGTGCTTTAAATTAAATTCCTGCGTGGATATGCGAGTTGAATTAGGACTAAATGATTTCCTTCATGCCTGGGGTTATATTTCTAGTAGATAGATAGATAGATAGATAGATAGATAGATAGATAGATAGATAGATAGATAGATATTGCAATAAATTGAAGCTCATTAGAAAACAGTAAAATGCTCTCATGAATGAAGGAGCCTGGATCTCTTATGCAAGTGCAATCTTTCTCCCCCCCCCCCCTCAGAAAATATCTCTTAGCCTCTAATTTACCATCTATAATTCTTTGTGTAAACAGTTGGGCACCACACTTTTTTTTTTGGCACAGAATATGTGGTTATTATATCATAGGAACAGAATAATGCTTTGCTTATATGCAGAGGTTGGTTACATGAAACAGAGGAGGGCATTCATGTAGTTTAGGTGATTACTAGAAAAGTAAAAGATTTGGGGTTTTTTTGGTGGTGATTGTTTTTTGCTCTGAACTGATAGTGCTTTGCAGCAGGCCACAGACCTGCTCAGACGTATCCCGGTAACCTATTAATAGACTGTGGTATTAAATGGTGGCTAATTTAATGGTTGACAGAGTTCTTTGGCAGAAACCCTCGACAGCAGTGGAAGCTCAGACGTACAAAGAACGGACATGATCTACACCATTGAGGATGTCCCACCCTGGTATCTCTGCATATTCTTGGGGTTACAGGTACAATTTGTTCTTTCAATTTGTTTTTTTTCCCCATTGAAATGCTAGCGAACAATTAAGCAAATCAGAATATAATTTTGAAGTGTTATTTTTAGAATTACTTAGCAGGGACCTAACACAGGGAATGGCCCTTTCCCAGGAGTCGTGTTTATTAGGATAATTCGGGCAGCCAGAAACTACAGATAATTTATTCCTGGTTTCCGTCTCCGTTGCTGTGAACAGAAGTGTGTGGGGTCTATCGGAACAAGGTGTGTTTCTGGCCGTAGCGTTTTCTTCTTGAACAGATAATTTCTGTATGCCTATATGAAGGCACACCAGGTTATTTAAAAAAAAAACATTTCCAAGTGGGCCTGAATTCCAAAATTATTTAGGTATGTAAAATGTGCCTCCTACATATTTTGTACTTGGGAACATGGCCAGGGTACCCAGTTGTGCATCCAGGATGATTCTCTTCATCAGGGCGGAGATGCCTCTGAACATCCTGAAGAGCAACAGGATGGAAGGGGGGCTTTAAGTCTGGGCATATTCCAGGAGAATATTTTCCTGCCTGGTTCTTGAATAGAATGAAGGGGGGGATATGCGAGCACCTTAAATCAATCGTCCTCTAGCAAATCTTTCCATGTTTAGTGGGCTTCTACAGCTCAGCTTCCTAGAGATCTTATACTCTGGAAGTTAGTGGGAGGTTGTGCAATGATATGCTGGAGCTGGTTTTGGCCGATGTTAAATTTTCTGTAATTTTGTAAGCCAATTGAGTACAGAGCTGAGCCAAGATGTCCAGTGCACTGATCAGCTGTCCAGCTGTTGGTGGCCTGGCTTGGCAGTGGCAATGGAGCCCAAGGAGGTGGTGGTTTAGCACAAACTAGAGGTTTGTCTTTGATTAAAGATTTTGGTTTGCCACTCTAAGAAAATGTGCTGAATGTGAGAATAAGTCAGTCTGGTGATATGAATTCAAGAGAATAAAATTGGGGCTTTTCATGTTTCGTGCGGTATCCATATGCAGATTGGAGACTGCTTCATATGAAGGCAACACTTTTGATCCATCCAATCTAAATTGGTCACTTTTGATTACCAAGGAGTTTGTTGAAATTCTGCTGTCTAAGACCATTTTAATAGGTATGAGATTTTCAGCACAAAGAGTCTGAATCCGTAACTGAGTTGTGGTCTCTTCCCTAACATCTGCTGGACCCTCCCCAATTTAGTTAGTATTAGGAAACTTGAGGGCATAATACTACTTTTTATTTTGGATGGCCATTTTCTAATCCTTCACTGAGATCATCAAAGTTAGCTTCTTTATTAAGATAATGGTCATTTCCTAAGGGATAAAACTATTCATGCAGAATTATTAATTGTCTTGGTTTAATCATAATGTCATTGCAAACATAGGGAAAGCAGTTTACACAGGTATGCACACACACACATACTTGATTAAAAATAACCCTTTGTTCTTTGCAGCATTACCTGACCTGTTTCAGCGGCACCATAGCAGTGCCCTTCTTGCTAGCAGATGCCATGTGTGTTGGAGATGATCAGTGGGCCACCAGCCAGTTGATTGGAACCATATTTTTCTGTGTTGGAATCACAACTTTGTTGCAAACAACATTTGGGTGCAGGTGAGTTACTCTTTGGTGATGTGTTAACTGCTTATAACTTTTCCCATGAACTCCAGGCAGTAATGCTAATAGACAGCATTTTGTCTTGATTCAAGGCAGAATACTTTGCCTGGGGAGAACCGGCTTCAGGTCATCTGTGAGACTCAAAGCATGGCTTTGGATTAGGCTCCATTCCTAGGGTGGTTATGGGCATTGAAATAAGGGGGAAGTCTGTGTAGGCCTCCTTTAAACTTCCTTTCTATAGAAAGGATGAATATAAAAAGAAAAACATAATAACATGCTGACAAAGGTAGGTGATAGGAGTTGAAACCCATGTTGTTTGGCAGATTGGGACTAGCTGTGAGGAATGAATGTTCCAAAAGCTCCTTCAGAACGGTGATAGAAGTATTAGGCTTATGTAAATAGATATAAAAGAAAAGTTATCTAATTTTTATTTCATAATTTTCACTTGCCAAGTAACATTCATTCAAAGCATGATAAATTAATAATCATTAAACAATTCAGGAAACAGGCAGGTAATATGCAAAATTAAAAGCATTAGTCATATTTGAGTCTGATAATAAAATGAAAAATGTTACATCATACCGAGGGTGTTGCAGTAATGCCTAAACTGTCCCTTCTGATTAATAGCTGCTCTAAAAGTTCTCAGCCAGATACTTTTCTTATTCCTGGAGCCTGAAGTCCTTCCAGCAGAAGTTAGAAGGACTGAAGACACTTTGATGCTCCAGGCACCATTCCTTTCCATGTAATGATCAGAAGGATGACCAAGCATTCTTTCAGCACAGACAAAGTGCTTTTGCTGTGACCCAGCATAACTGATATACCGTCCTTGCTGACTCTAATGGGGACACTAAAGAGATAGGTCAAGGTAGTTGTGATAATGATGACTCAAATAAGCGGGGGATTGTGGTCCAAAATGAAGAACTTACTTCGGAAAGACAAAATGGGGAATCACACATCAGTCGCACAAGAAGAGCAAGGTATGCAAAAAGAGAAGTTTTAAGTTTAAGTTTTAATAGATTTGTATGCCGCCCAATCCCGAAGGCGGCTTAGATAAAAACAGTTTAAAAACAAATATTAAAAAAGTTAAGATACAAAACAGCAGATTAAAAAGGGACACAACATACACTCGATGTTAATGGGGCTGAAGCTCAATCGGAGATCAGCAGCCCCAGGCCTGCCGGAACAGCCAGGTCTTAACAGGCTTTCGGAAGGCCGAGAGAGTAGGGAGGATCCGGATCTCAGGGGGTAGATCGTTCCATAGGGCCGGGGCAGCTACAGAGAAGGCCCTCCCCCGAGGAGCCACCAGACAACATTGTGTAGCCAATGGCACTCGGAGAAGGCCCGCCCTGTACGATCTTATTGGGCGCTGGGAGGTATGTTGCAGGAGGCGGTCACGGAGATATCCAGGTCCTAGGTCATGTAGGGCTTTAAAGGTGATAACCAGCAACTTGAAGCGTGTTCGGAGACCAATAGAGAGCCAGTGCAGCTCACGGAGGATAGGTGTAACATGGGTATATCTAGGTACACCCAGTATCGCTCGCGTGGCTGCATTCTGGACCTATTGTAGTCTCCAAACACTTTTCAAGGGCACCCCATGTAGAGCGCATTACAGTAGTCGAGTCTTGAGGTGACGAGAGCATGAGTGACCATTTGGAGTGCCTCCCGGTCCAGATAGGGCCGCAACTGGTGCACCAGGCGAACCTTGGCAAAGGCTCCCCTGGTCACAGCTGACAAATGGTGTTCTAATGTCAACCTTCTGGTTGATGATTCAATCATAAGGGATGTAAATTTAGGGAATGATATGGAAGTTTTAAAAGAGGTCAGGTATCTGCCAGGTGCTACTGCGAGCAGAGACAAGAGGCGTATTCTTAAGATAGTCAAGAATGCAANCAGGCCTGTCGGAACAGCCAGGTTTTAAAGGCTTTGCGGAAGGCCTGGAGGGGGGTGAGGGTCCGAATCTCCACGAGGAGCTCCAAAGGGCCGATTGTAAAAAGTACGTCTTGTATCATTGGTTCTGTGAGAAAATATCCAGTAATGGGGTCGCCTTATCATATGAAGACTCCCCACAAACATTTGCCAAGTGGATGAAGCTAATGCAACCGAAAGCTGCTTCTGTCCTTGGGTAAGGCATTAATTAAAAGATTGTTGTGGTTACTGCTGGGGAGCTTAGATGCCAGCATTGCCCTTGGTTGGATTCTTCACATTCTGTAATCTCCACCTTGACAGGGTTATAAAAGCTTCAAAGGCTTTGGTCCTTCCACCCCCTTCAGTTCTGGTATTTATGGGGAAGATTCTTGTCTTCTGCAAAAGGCTGCAAGGCCATCGCGACTCTTGATGTAGAACCTGTCAACAAAACTTAACCCTTCAGTGTTCTTTACTGAATGATTTAATCCAGTGTTTCTCAACCTTGGCTGCTTGAAGATGTGTGGACTTTAACTCCCAGAATTCCTTGCTGGCCAGGGAATTCTGGGAGTTGAAGTCTACACATCTTCAAGCAGCCAAAGTTTCTTTGCTGGCTGAGGAATTCTGGGAGTTGAAGTCCACAAGTCATAAAGTTGCCAAAGTTGGAGACCTCTGCGCTAGGGGGATCCTTGGATACCATGCCACTGCTGTGGAAGGGACTGGGTTTTGATGTTTGAAATGGCTACAGCTACAGTGACAGCTTCAGAGCATGCTCTCTTATGAAATTAAAAAAAATACTCCTTTGTTTATTTCCTGTTAATCCCTTTGATAATGAACACTGCATATACATAGGAGGAAATATGAGGAGGAGGAAGCTGCATGTGCTTAAATCAGACCGGCTTCAGGGTTTAAGAAGCCAAGTCAGTTTGAGAACAAGATACTCTGCAATCAAGGATGGATTAAGTCAGAACTTTTGTTATATAAACCTACCGTATTTTTTGGAGTATAAGACGCACCTTTTTTCCTAAAAAAAAAAAAAAAGCTGAAAATCTGGGTTTGTCTTATACACTGAATGCAGCATTTTTTGCCTCCCAAAGCCCTGCCCCCCTTCATCAAAATGGCTGTGCATATCCTTATGGAGGCTTTCAGAGAGCTCCTGGGGGCTGGGGAGGGCAGAAATGACCAAAAAAATGCCTGTTTCCCCAGCTTCCAGTAGCACTATAAGCCTCCATAAGGCTGTGCATGCAATTTTTTGGACAAAAAATGGGCCCGTTTTCACGAAAAACAGGCCTTTTTGTGCTTGTTTTTGGCCCCCCACCGCTTAGGAGCACTCTGCAAGCCCCCCCCCCCCCCGGCTGTTT